TTGGAAGCAAAAGATATGTTATTGACCATTCACACCTCAAATTCCTCATGAAGACCCTCTGCCAGATGACCTTAATGACTCCCTTCACCAGATACCTTTCCCACCCTTGGAAACAAAAGAAATGTTAATGAACAACTCACACCTAAGCTAATCTCCACACATACTGCTGTCTCTGCTTCTACTCTCTGTATTTCTCTGAAACAGTCTGAAATAATTAATCATTTACCACTTTTCAGTGCATTCTGGGCATTTGGGAGGTTCTCCTGTGCTTATCTTTAAAAAATGCTTCTAAATGCGCAAAAACACGTGCAAAAAGCAATGCAAAGCATCGGATGCCGTGGTGTAAAGCACGCCGCCACTGGACTCTAGAGCAGTGGAGACGTGTTCTCTGGAGTGAACAATCACACTTCTAGTGATCCGATGGGCATGTCTGGGTTTGTCGGTTGCCACGAGAACAGTACTTGCCTGACTGCCTTGTGCCAAGTGTAAAGTTTGGTGGAGGAGGGGATTATGGTGTGGGGTTGTTTCTCAGGGGTTGGGCTTAGCCCCCTAGTTCCAGTGAGTGAAGGGAACTCTTAAGGCATCAGCATACCAAGACATTTTGGACAATTTCATGCTACCAACTTTGTGGGAAGAGTTTGGGGATGGCCCCTTCCTGTTCCAACATGACTGCCGCACCAGTGCACAAAGCAAGGTCCATAAAGACATGGAGGAGCCAGTTTGGGGTGGAGGAACTTGACTGTCCTGCACAGAGTCCTGACCTCAACCCCATAGAACACCTTTGGGATGAATTAGAGCGGAGACTGCGAGCCAGGCCTCCTCCCCCGACATCAGTGCCTGACCTGACAAATGTGCTTCTGGAAGAATGGTCCAACCTTCCCATAGACACCCTCCTAAACCTTGTGGACGGCCTTCCCAGAAGAGTTGAAGCTGTTATAGCTGCAAAGGGCGGGGCCAACTCAATATTGAACCCTACGGACTAAGACTGGGAGGCCATTAAAAGTCATGTGTGTGGAAAGGGCGGGGCCAACTCAATATTGAACCCTACGGACTAAGACTGGAGGCCATTAAAGGTCATGTGTGTGGAAAGGGTGGGGCCAACTCAATATTGAACCCTACGGACTAAGACTGGGAGGCCATTAAAGGTCATGTGTGTGGAAAGGCCGGCCAACCAATACTTTTGGTAATATAATGTATGTATATGCTTCTCAACACAGGACAGGAACATGCCATGCCTTGCTGCCCTCTCCGGACTGGGGGAGCCCCGGAACCACACTACAAAAACACAAACAAAACAGCTTAGTGCATTATCTCATGGACCATTTATTGATATTCTGCAAATAAATGTACCCACAAACCGTACGTTAAAAACAAAATATCAAGCAGGGCATCAGTGACACCCATCACACTCGGCATTCTCCAGAGTTCAGGAGAACACCACCAGTATCCTAGCCATCTTACGCATTTAGAGGGCAGTACCCTCTTCCTCAGAGCCAAACCTTTGAGGAAGAGGGTACTGCCCAGGGGTTGGACTGACCATTCGAGCACACGGGCACTCCCCGATGGCCCGGGGTCAGAAGGGGGCCCCATAAAATGCTCCTGGTATCTTTTGTAGGCTTTTTTGGGTGTGTTTTGAGTGTGGGCAAGGACACAGGGGCCCCATGATCCCCAATTGCCCGGGGGGCCCCATGAGTTGTCAGTCCACCCCTGGTACTGCCCAGGGGTTGGACTGACCATTCGAGCACACGGGCACTGCCTGAGGGCCCGGAGTCAGTAGGGGGCCCCATGAGATGCCCCTGGTACCTTTCATTGGCTTTTTCATAGGCTTTTTTGGGTTTGGGTGAGGAAACAGGGGCCCCATGATCCCCTATTGCCCGGGGGCCCCATGAGTTGTCGGTCCACCCCTGGTACTGCCCTCAAAACGCACAAGCCAGCCAGGATCCTGTTGGCGTTCTCCTGAGGTCTGGAGTGTGATGGGTGACCGTGTCACTGATGCCTAGCTTGATATGCTGTATTTAACTTTTTGAGCCCTTTCTGCCCCCCTCCCGGGACCCTACTAATGGGATGCTGGAGCTGGGCAGGGAGGGGTTAATAAAAAAAAAATTAAAAAAATAGAAAATACTGTCCCTTTATTACGGGTGCATCCCGTCTACCAGATCCGCTACACTCGCTGAACAAAGACAAAGCTTTTTCTGCAAACCGGTGAACAATGCGGTGACGGTGTCATTAAAGTGCCGCGAAGGCGCAGACTGACGGCACACTCAGATCAGGCGTTCGTCCTTTCTTCCTCCTCCATTATTGAGATGTGGGTGTCTTCCTGTCCACAATTTGCTGAGATCCAAATTTTCGAGCAGCAGAAGCCTCGGATGAGTTCTGTAATAAGAGATATCATCTTGACACCTAATCTGCGGCGCTGTCACTGCCAATGCACGTCAAAATTCCGGTCTGCGCGCCGTTCGATTAGCGCATCCAACAGCAGGAGAAGGTCCTCGCAAAGCACGGGTATTTATATAGTCACCAAAACCGACTCCATGAACCCATTATAAACAGGATGTACATGGACTCAAATTTAAAGTGCATGTACACCCCAACAATGAATTCTTTTTTGGTCCCTTTCGGTCTGCTGAATATGCCATTGAAAGTGTTTTGTTTTGTCTGCTTCATAGGTGAGGAAAATCCTGCCAGAATTCTTGTGGGCTGACACCTTCCCGTGCTCTTTGCTTCTGCTGTCATCAATCATTGTTCTCCGAAGACTACAGAACCACTGAAATCCAGTAAATGAAAATGGCGGGGCCAGGGACAGTCAAACTAGAGAAGAAAGTGCTAGATCAGGGGTCTCCAGACTCTCTAAGCAAAGGGTCAGTTTACTGCCCTTCAGACTTTAGCGGGGGCCGGACTGTGGACATCATTGGTGTCTGTAGGAGAAATTATTGGTGTCCACATCTCTGGTGACAGTAGGAAGGTGGCCCCATCAAATGTGTTCAAGGGAATAGTGCCATTGGTATCAGTGGGGAGGAATCATTGGCAGGAATAGTGCCCCATCATTGGTATCAGTGGGAGGAATAGTGCCCATCATTGGTGTCAGTGGGAGGAATAGTGCCCCATCATTGGTATCAGTGGGAGGAATAGTGCCCCATCCATTGGTTTGTCAGTGAGGAGGAATAGTGCATCCCCATCATTGGTGTCAGTGGGAGGAATAGTGCCCCATGCCCCATCGGTGTCAGTGGGAGGAATAGTGCCCCATCATGGGGGTATTAGTGGATCAGGAATAGTGCCCATCATCAGTGGAGGAATAGTGGTGTCAGTGGGAGGAATAGTGCCCCATCATTGGTATTAGTGGAAAGGAATAGTGGGTGCCCCGTCATCACTGGTGTCAGTGGGGGATTAGTGCCCCATCATTGGTATCAGTGGGAGGAATAGTGTCCCATCATTGGTGTCAGTGGGAGGAATAGTGCCCCATCATTGGTATCAGTGGGAGGAATAGTGCCCCATCATTGGTGTCAGTTGTGTCATTGGTGTCAGTGGGGGAGGAATCAGAGGGAGAATAGTGCCCCATCATTGGTGTTGGTGTCAGTCAGTGGGAGGCATAGTGCCCCATCATTGGTAGTGCCCCATCAGTGGGAAGGAATAGTGTCATCGGTTTCAATCAGTTGGTGTCATTGGTGAGAGGAATAGTGCCCCATCCTGGGTGTCAGTGGGAGGAATGGTGCCCCATCGTTGGTGTCAGTGGGAGGAATAGTGCCCCATCATTGGTGTCAGTGGGAGGAATAGTGTCCCATCATTGGTATCAGTGGGAGGAATAGTGCCCCATCATTGGTATCAGTGGGGAGGCATAGTGCCCAGTGGGAGGAATATCATTGGTATCAGTGGAAGGAATAGTGTCCATTGGTGTCAGTGGGAGGAATATCAGTGCCCCGTCATTGGTCAGTGGGAGGAATAGTGCCCCATCTTTGGTCAGTGGGAGGAATAGTGCCCCATCATTGGTATCAGTGGAAGGAATAGTGCCCCATCATTGGTGTCAGTGAAAAGAATAGTGCCCCAAGGACCAGATAAAGGCAAGCAAAGAGCCACATCCGGCAAACAGGCCGCAGTTTGGGAGACCCCTGCACTAGATGATGCTGGGTGTCCACCAGCCAGGAAATGGGCGGAGCTCTATCTGACTTGCTGCAGCTTCTAATGCACATTGTGAGAAGCTCACAGTGTGCAGTGACATCAGAGGACGCCATTTCAGTTCCGTAGAGGAGCCGGTACAACTGTGCGAGACTGAAGGGAAGGCTGGAGGTCAGATGTAAAGTTATTGGATCCTCTGTAGCTTTTTCCCCCCTAATAGCCGAAGCTGTTCATGTAATTTACAGTAATGACATCTCCAAAGGGTTATTGTTAAAATAAAGTCATTGTAAGAACAAAAATGTTTTATTTAATGATAGGAAAGATTGAGCATTAATATGTTTGATATTCCCCACCGGAGTCAACTGCAGCCAAAGAGGCGCAGCGGCGGTCTCAAGCTCCCCCTCTACACGTGTCAAGCGGAATATTTCAGCTTTATTTTCGGGGCCGGGTGAATAATTCACATTCAGATTTCAGGAATGGCTTTACGAATCATTAAAAATAAAACACAAGACAAGAGCAACTGTAAGACGAAACACTTGAGATACTTTTACAGGAAATATGTAGAAATTATAGACCCTCAAAGACTTTAAATTTAGGTGTAGAATGGAAATTTTATTTTTTAATCTTGAAGACGCGCCGAGCCCAAGGAATGTTTTTTTGGTGTATTACTAGCCTTTTTTTTTCTAACTTTTGGATAAAGTACTGTAGGCTTTAATTCCTCAATCGTCTACCCCAGAGGAACCCTTCAAATCATTTTCAGGTCTAAAACCAATCTACTGAAAATCAGAGTAAGGAATTACATTGGTGGTCAGTGGGCAAAATGCCCCCCCCCCCCCCCCCCCCCCACACACTAATGGCCGGTACAAGGCATGTCCTCTGCATTGGTGGTCAGTGGGATGAATGCTCCTTACATTGGTGGTCAGTGGGAAGAATGTCCCTTACATTGGTGGTTGGAATGATCAGTGGGAAGAATGCCCCTTACATTGGTGATCAGTGGGAAGAATGTCCCTTACATTGGGGGTTAGTAAGAGGAATGTCCCTAACATTGGTGGTCAGTGGGAAGAATGTCCCTTACATTGGTGATCAGTGGGAAGAATGCCCCTTACATTGGTGGTCAGTGGGAAGAATGTCCCTTACATGGGGTGATCAGTGGGAGAATGCCCCTTACATTGGTGGTCAGTGGGAAGAATGTCCCTTACATTGGAGGAATGTCCCATTGGTGGTCAGTGGGAAGAATGTCCCTTACATTGGGGGTCAGTGGGAAGAATGTCCCTTACATTGGGGGTCAGTGGGAAGAATGTCCCTTACATTGGTGATCAGGGGGAAGAATGTCCCTTACATTGGTGGTCAGTGGGAAGAATGTCCCTTACATTGGTGATCAGGGGAAGAATGTCCCTTACATTGGTGGTCAGTGGGAAGAATGTCCCTTACATTGGTGGTCAGTGGGAAGAATGTCCCTTACATTGGTGGTCAGTGGGAAGAATGTCCCTTACATTGGTGGTCAGTGGGAAGAACGCTCCTTACATTGGTGATCAGAGAAGAATGCTCTGTACATTGCTGGCCAGTAGGAAGAGCACCTTGGTGTTTAGAATACCTCCTTTATAGTCAACTAGAGATATTAGTAATGTCATGCTACCAAAACTACAATGGCACCAGCAAACGGAAGGCATATCAGCCACATCTCAAGGAACCCCCAGGAACCTCTGGAGGAGCCTTAGTTGAGAATGGCTGGAGTACATTAGACTTAGAACACATATCTGTTTATATTTTTCTGTCTTTGGGGAGATCGTCCTTCTCATCCATTCACTTTATGTCCCTAAGATGCAACAGGACGTCAGGGAAAATCCCCCCTTAGACAGTCGTTCCCGATGGACGATCATCCCTGACTTCTACTGTATATGTTCTGTCACTGCAACGATGGTGATCAGGACAAATAAAGAGGATGAATATCCCCCGCGAGGATACAGGCAGCAATAAAAGCATGAAGGGGCTCTAAGCTTTCCTACTCTATCAAAAAGAAAGTGTGAACTGTCAACACATTTTAATTGTTCTTAATGCAAAAATGTATACATTTATACTATCCATCTGTGTAAATCCAAGGTTTGTGGCTCTATCCCATCATTCTTTGGTTGTTGAACGTACAGTTACTATTTTTTATATATTACAGGTTCTTATATAGCAATGTTCATTTATGCTTTAGATATATATTATATTGTACATTCACATCAGTCCCTAACCCTCAAGGGGTGTACAATCTAAGGTCCATAACTGACATTCATACATACACATACTAGGGACAATTTAGACCGGATCCAAATAACCTACCAGCATGTCTGAGGAAACTAGAATAGCCAGAGGAAAGCCACGCAGGAACAAGAAGAACATGCAAACTCCAGGCAGGTGGTGTCGTGGTTGGGAATCAAACCTACGACCCCAGTGCTTCCAGGTGGAAGTGCTAACCATTTAGCCACTGTGCTGCCTGAGTTACTAGAGCTTTAATCTGCACCTCATTAAGTGATGTCGCTCATATAAACTATTCATATTCATTTATGAGTTCCGGGCAGCTTTAAAACTCCTATTAGAAAGCTAATGATCGGCTTTTCATTCATTGTTTAAAAGTATAAAGTCGTGAACTATCTTTAATTTATTAGGACCGATTTCCATTTTTTGCTACTGACAAGTCCCCAAACCCTCATATTTTGAATGGAATGTCAGCAATTACTATAGAGGGTCCTGGAACATTTTGTCAAATTTTGGGTGTAGATCGGGCCAGTGATGGGGATGGTAAATTAATACCCATTCATTCTGTAGACACCTGCCTTTTACATCAATATGAGCTTGTTGGGCAACCTATTCCAAATCCAAGGGCTGAGTTCCTCTTCCTTCCCCTTCCCCCTATAACAGCCTCTACTCTTCTGTAAAGACGTTCTACAAAATTTTGGAGTGCGTCCGTGGGGCCTTGTGCACCCATTCACCCAATAGAACATTTGTAGATGCTAATGCTGGATGAGAAAACCTTGCGGGTGGGTTGTGGGCTTGCTCTCTCTGGTCCTGGGAATGAGATCACAATATCTGTGGTTACGGGTTCTTCTCAACTGCAAATAGCCAAAGACCCACTATTACAACACACTTTTACACACAGGTACAGTCTTTGGAGGGGAGCTCCTTTCCCTAAGACAGGGGTGTCCAAACTTTTTTCAAAGAGGGCCAGATTTGATGAAGTGAACATGCGTGAGGGCCAACCATTTTGCGGCAAAAAAAAAAAAAAGCGAAATTACTCTCACTGATTTCTTTCAATGCTTGAGAAGGGAGCGCAGTTTTGCCTTTCATCGGCCTCGCGCATGCTCCGAAACGCGTCGCATTGCATGTTGGACATCCCTACGTCATCACGCTGACATTGATGTTGCGCTCCAGAGTGGACGCCCTCTTTCGATCTCACACATGCCCGCCGGCTCCCTCTGAACATCCCGAGTCTCCTCCAGCACTTACTACACATACATCGAGGACGCCGCCATGTCCTTCGCTTTCACCACATATGCCTAAGCCTTTAGTTTTCTTTCACCATGTGTTTCTCATTATGTTCCTCAATAAATGTACCACATATTGCACTTAGAGGCGCTTTTCTCCTTTTTTAGATAATGCCAAATTACCTGTGGGGCCGTATTAAACTGGAACACGGGACGCAATTGGCCCGCGGGCTGGACTTTGGACATGCCTGCCCTAAGACAACCTCACAGTCCATAGCCTGGTTCCTCCTGCTTCCTTCTACATAACTTTAGGGATCCCATAGCCAAAATAGCTGAGCCAAGTGTTAACCCATACAGAAAACAGAGTGGACACCAGTAGTACCAACCCTCACTGTAAGACCAGAACTTAAACCAATGCTAACATCCTTTTTCCTCTCCATCCCTTCAAAGCACACCAATTAAAGAATGTTCAGTTGGGTTCAGATACATCAAAGTAGTCTTTACTCCTAAAAGATGGACTTATACAAAAGACCCCATCACCAGGGACAATGAATGACAGAATGTTTGCCTAAAACCCAAGGGACGGGCCTAACACCCTCTAATAAGCTGCCTTGCAGTGTGCTCTCTAGTCCATCAGAATGGTGTTCAGTAGAGTTGAGGTCAGGGCTCTGTATAGGACACTTGAGTTCCTCCATACCAGACAGGTCAAACCATGTCTTTATGGAGATGTTGATTGAGAAGACTTGGCTTGTTCCAGTTCATCCCAAAGGCGTTCAGTAGGGTTGAGGTCAGGGCTCTGTACAGGACACTTGAGTTCCTCCATACCAGACAGGTCAAACCATGTCTTTATGGAGATGTTGATTGAGAAGACTTGGTTTGTTCCAGTTCATCCTAAAGGCGTTCAGTAGGGTAGAGGTCAGGGCTCTGTACAGGGCACTTGAGTTCCTCCATACCAGACAGGAAAAACCATGTCTTTATGGAGATGTTGATTGAGAAGACTTGGTTTGTTCCAGTTCATCCTAAAGGCGTTCAGTAGGGTTGAGGTCAGGGCTCTGTACAGGGCACTTGAGTTCCTCCATACCAGACAGGAAAAACCATGTCTTTATGGAGATGTTGATTGAGAAGACTTGGCTTGTTCCAGTTCATCCCAAAGGCATTCAGTAGAGTTGAGGTTAGGGCTCTGTACAGGACACTTGAGTTCCTCTATACCAGACAGGTCAAACCATGTCTTTATGGAGATGTTGATTGAGAAGACTTGGCTTGTTCCAGTTCATCCCAAAGGCATTCAGTAGAGTTGAGGTTAGGGCTCTGTACAGGACACTTGAGTTCCTCTATACCAGACAGGTCAAACCATGTCTTTATGGAGATGTTGATTGAGAAGACTTGGCTTGTTCCAGTTCATCCCAAATGCGTTCAGTAGGGTTGAGGTCAGGGCTCTGTACAGGACACTTGAGTTCCTTCTCACCAAACCAGTCAAACTATGTCTGTATGGAGCTGGCTTTGTACACAGAGGCACAGTTATGCTGGGAAATAAAATGGTCCTCAGCAGAGTATTACCAAAAGGTTGGAACTACAATGTCTACAATGTCTTTGCATAGCGTTGTTGTCATGTACCTGGTCGAGGCTGAGCTGATGAGAGGGCTGCCCTTACACCTCTTGTCCTGTTTCCCCTGAGGATGATGACAGGGTATACCAGGGCACAGAGTCGCTGTAAAAATGTCCCGTATGTATGAGGACAAAATGTTCACAAAGAATGTGTTCCTTTCTGTTTAATAAATTGACTGTAAAGCGCTGAGCAAAACTGTTGGCGCTACATACATCCTGTATAATAATAATAATAATAATAATAATAATAATAATAATAATAATAATAATAATAGTAATAATAATAATAAATAATAAATTAATAAAAAATAATAATAATATAATAATAATAATAATAATTAATAAATAAATAATAATAATAATAATGCATAATAATAATATTAATAAATAATAATAATTAATAAATAATAATAATACATAATAATCGTAAATAATAAAATAATAATAATAAATAATATTAATTAATAAATAATAATAATACATAATAATAATAATCGTACATAATAAAATAATAATAATAAAATAATAATAATAATAATAATAATAAATAATAATGATTAATATATAATATCACATAATAATAATCGTAATAATAATAATAATAATAATAATAAATAATAATAATAATAAATCTTTGCACAGATTTATAATGCATTTATAACACATTTATGTTCATTCATGTTAATTTATGTTAATTTATGTTAATTTCTATTAATTTATGTTCATCTCCGATGGTATCTAGTATCATAACAAAGTGTAAGGAGTGATAGCATGCAACAGTCCTTGGAACCAATCAGAAATCCTGTATCTTCTACTGCCTGAGTTCTGATTGGTTGTTCCGGCTTAGCATTGCTCTTTTCAGTCATTTAATAGGCCCCATGCTGTCATTGCCTCTATTATGACTCCTAATGTTCTTGTATCATCGCCCCATAACATGACTGCTCGCCCCCCCACTTCTCACATCCTCACTATCAGAAGTCGTTCTTTTATCCGGCAGGTTTATTTGTTGTGCTCCCCCCCCTAACGGAGCGTTCACATAATTGTGGGAAGGTATTTTTAGTCTTTAATTAGCTGTAAATATTATATCTGAGCATGTGTTACTCACACTTACTTTGCTGCAAGCTGTCATGTACATATGGGGTGCTGCTAGCTGAATCGGAAAGCCTTTCATGCTTGCTCTGGGTGGGAGGGATGCACCCCTCCTCCTGCTACCGGCACCCCAGTAAGCGACTGACTGCTTGTGGCCCCAAGAAGCCACCAGGATAAGGCGGGTCCCGGGAGGGCTGAACCTGATCCAAAACAGAGGATTGTGTGACCTGTGCGAAGATACTAGCCAGGCGATGAATGAAGCAGATTATTCCCCATAAAGAATAGATGGAGGATATATACAATGCCAATTATAAATGCAGAAGTAGATATATTGGCAGATGAGTCCTCGTTGCATGACAGCCG